AGTGGAGGGCAAAAGATATTTATTGGCCCTCCATAACCTCTGACCCATTAGGACTTTTTTTTCAATTGCAGGTAATAGAAAACCCAAAAAAGAGTGACTTAAGCAACAAAAGAAAATGCACTGACCCCAGTAAATAGAAGGAGATTTAACATTTATTTCTTAACATTTCATGGGTATCTCCACCTAGAGCTCAAAGGATGTGAGCAAGACCCTATTTACCACTCCCCTTTTCTTCCTCTGCCTTTTTGTTGCTAGCTGGATTCTAGGCAGAGAAACCCATCCAGGGAAGAAAAAGACTGGCAGTGCCCTGAGCCTGTCTCTTTCCAGATTGACTTCCAGTATGAAAAGCTCAAGCAAAAGCCCCTGATACAGATCATATGTCCAACTCTGAACTAATGACTGTGGCCAGACACCAGACTTCTTACTCTAGAAAGTGATTCTTCCCCTGAGGCCTACGGGGCAAGAGTGGGGAAGGGGACAGTTGGGTATATGGTTATCAGAACGGGGGTGCGTAAGTGAATGGAGACCAAGTAGAAGAAACCAAGGACTAAGAGTCCCTTGCACAAACTCAACAATTCCAGTGTGAGCGCACAAAGAAGGGCAGAAAATATTACATATAAGGGCTCTTCGTTGGGCAAATGGGGCTACCCCTTCCTCAGTCACATAATGTTATGCAGGTCAATGAACATAATTGTTCTATAATCCAAGTCCCTGGTTTCCTAACCAGGTGACACAACAAATACCCTTCATGTTCATTCCAATGTAACTATGTTTTTTAATGCATCAGATAGTCCATAAATAAAGTTATCTCATAAAATAAGAAAATTACTATTTTCCTTTTTCTGTCTTTTTTAATCAACACTAATACATGTTATGGATCCAATACTGGATACTGGAAAGAATTTCCAAAATGTGCTTTTGAAGTGGCCTAGACTTGCTCCATTTTAGTTGTTTTACGCTAAGTCTTCCTAAAATGCATAACACTTTTCTCCAGCTTAATAACCAGACTGTTGAACACAATTTTACCTGATTTTGGTCTTCTCTGATATACTGTAGTAATGTCTTCAGGTGCTGTTGAGGTTTATAAACACTTTTTGACCTTATACTAAATGGTACTGTGAGTCTGTGGACTAAGCTGACCTACCCTGGCCTGGAGTGGCAGAAAAGGTTTCTGAATCCCAGACCCATTAGTGTAATGGACATCTTAAATACCTATAAAACAGCTGACATTAATATATTTGCAGATCCACAAGTACAAACCTACCATGTCATATCATTAGGTTAAAAGGCTTTCTAAATAAGAATAACAATTCTCTTTCATACCAAATTATTTCTTTGCATGTATTTTTTTTTTTTTTTGGAGACAGAGTCTCACTACGGTGCCCTTGGTAGAGTGCCATGGCATCACACCTCATAGCAACCTCCAACTCTTGGGTTTAAGCGATTCTCTTGCCTTAGCCTCACAACTAGCTGGGACAATGCCCAGCTATTTTTTGTTGCACTTGTCATTGTTGGATAGCAGGCCCTGGCTAGGTTTGAACCCACCAGCCTTGGTGTATGTGGCTGGCACCCCACCCACTGAGCTACAGGCACCATCTGCACGTAACATTCTTGATTTTACTAACTCAGAAATGACACAGGCCCTAAAGGCTAAGCCCAAAAACAAAAACAAGGGTGGCGCCTGTGGCTCAAAAGGGTAGGACGACGGTCCCATATGCCGGTGGTAGAGGGTTCAAACCCAGCCCTGGCTAAACAACTGCAAAAAAAAAAAAACTTCTGCACCTAAAACAGCCCTTAGCCTTTGAGATTTATGCCAGCAGGAAGTTTACTGTCAAAGCTATGCATCAGAGGAAAGAACCTCTCAGAAGGCATGGGCTGCAGAGAGCAAGAGGGCAGGGAACTGCTCCCAGAAAGTATAAACAGGTTTTAAGGAAAGAATCCTCTAAGGGGGTGGGGGGCAGAGGAGCCTCTCAATGGCCATCCATCTTGCTGTGGACAGGTGACTGCTGTGTCTTGCATGCTTCTGAGTGAGAATGTTTATTGCAGTGATACTTCAATATTGCAGGGGCCAGAAAACCCTCAAACTCATTGTCAGCAGATCTGTAAATGGAATATAATCTATAGATTCCAGCCTATGTGTACAAACTACCAAAAGAAGCTGAAATCTGAACAGAAGCCATATGGGGGGAAATAAAGAGAAGAAGCCCAGAGAATGATGATAGGGCCAATAAGTGGCAAATCTCAGAAAGTGTCGGCAAGTATCCAAGAATAAAGGGAGGGTCTCACTTTCAGCTTTAAAAGAGATATCTGTGTTTGCACTAAGGGTGGAATTTAGTTAGGGGAAAGAGGGTGTGGATAACAGAAGCCACCCTGAACTTGATTAGAAGTTCAGAAAATAGAAGAGGCAGGACTGTACCGTGGTTTCCCAGTGCATATAAGTCATGTTTACACTAGACTACACTCTGGTGAGTGTACAATAGCATTATATCCAAAAAGTATATCTTGATTAAAAAATACTTTATTGCTAAAAAAATGCTAATGATCATTTGAGCTTTCAGCAAGTTGTAATCTTTTTGCTGGTCTTGCCTCGATGTGGATGGCTGCTGACTAACCAGAGTGACGGTTGCCGAAGGCTGGGGTGGATGTGGCAATTTCTTAAAATAAGGTAACAAGGAAGTTTGCTGTGAGTCTTCCTTTCACTAAAAATTTCTCTGTGGCATGCCATGCTGTTTAATTCCATTTTACCCACACTAGAACTTCTTTCAAAATTGGAGTCAATCCTCTGAAATCCTGCTGCTAACTAATTTTAGGTAATATTCAAAAGTTGTTGTCATTTCAACAATGTTGACAGCATCTTTACCAGGGGTAGATTCTACCCCAAGAAACCACTTTCTTTGCTCATCCCTAAGAAGCAAACTCGTCTGTTCAAGTTTTATCACGAGGTGTAGCAGTGCAGTCACACCTGCAGGCTCTGCCTCTAATTCTACTTCTCTTGCTATTTCTACCAAATCTGCACTTTCTTCCTCCACTGAAATCCGGAACTCTCAGAGTCATCCACGAGATTTGAAATTAACTTCTTCCAAATTATTGTTAATATTGATATGTTGGCCTCTCCCGTCAATGTTTTTAATGGCATCTAGAATGGTAAATCCTTTCTAGAAGATTCCCAGACCCATCAGAGGAGTTATCCCAGCAACCACAGCCTTGCAAAGTGTATTTCATAAATAAGACTTGAAGGTTGAAATTACTCCTTGATCTATGGGCATTTATGGTGCCCCCAAACAATAACAATAGTAATATGTGTGATCACTGATCACATATCACATAACAGCTATAATAATAATGGAAAAGTTTGAAACATTGAGAGAATTGCCAAAATGTGACACAAAGACACAAAGTGAGCATATATTTTTTGGAAGAAATTATACCAGTAGATTTTGTCAGCACACGGCTGCCACAAACCTTCAATATGTAAAAGGGAAACGTAGTATCTGCAGAGAGCAATAAAACACAATAAAACTAGATATGTAAAACTAGGTAAAACTGTGTATAGAATGATACAGTGAATATGAGATGCTACAGCCACTGACTGCATTACATGTAGTAGCTGAGAGCCAAGGTCTATTTAAAGCTGACAAATTACATGAGAGAAGGATAAGCATCTTTAATCCTTTAAAAGTAAACATTCAAAAGATGGGGTGGACTAAAATTGTCTGGTGGAGAAGGGGAAGAGATGTCATCACTATAACAGAGATCTACACATACTGGTTAGAGAGTAGAGCACTCAGGCTATTATAATTATAAAGTCAACCCCGAAGACTAACATACAGAACTCCCCAGGTATCAGAAACAAAGGTGCACACATAAAATAGGACAAAAAATAGTGCAGAAAAGAAGTAATCGTAGTTCACCATATCGTCAGTCGCAAAGAGCATTTACCTTGTTGAAATAAAGCAAATGTTCAACTTATATCTAATTAAACTATATTGGAAGACAGGAAGACCAGGAGAGATCCTTTCTGCAGTGGGGCAGGGAGGAAGAAAGAATTAACTCCTTATCTTCCACGCTGGGAAGTCAGGAACTAATTCCCCCAAATGAAACCTCTGTAAGTGACATTTAAAGACCTGAGGATGAATATCCAAATCATCCACCAAGAGAGATGAAACTGGCTGTCCTGAGGAAGGTGGAGGAAAAAAAGGAGGAGGCAGAGGCTGCTGCTATTTTTCACACCAAACTTTGTAGAACATTTTGGTTCCTTCCTGTACAACTTCAATACGAAGTACAATCTTTAAAAAGAAACTGAGCTCTTACGATTGCCAAAATGTGGAAACAACCTAAATTCTCACCAACCCGAACAAGCTGTGGTATATGTATACCAGGGAATACTATTCAGCCATTAAAAAAAGATGGAGACTTTATAGCTTTTGCATTAACCTGGATTGAGTTGGAACACATCCTTAGTAAAGCATCACAAGAATGGAGAAGCAAGAATCCAATGTACTCAATTCTAATATGAAGGCAGTAGATGATCTAATTCAAGATGGGAGATAGGGGAATGAGGGAGCAGGGAGAGGGGAGGACGGAGGGGGATGGGGGGTCATGGTGTATGGCACACCTCTTGGGGGTAGGGCACAATTATAAGAGGGAATTTACCTAACAAATGCCATCCTTATAACCTAATTCTTTGTACCGTGAATGAATCCCAAACAATTACAAAAAATAAAGAATGAAATGGAGCTCAAATAAGCCACCTGCGTTCAACTTACCAGTTTGTTATTTTCTACACTAAACTCCTCATGCTCACTAGCCTTTCATTCTAAAAAAAGGGCGGGGGGATATTTCCTTCTGCTTTGCCTTTTACTGAAAGCCACCACAACTATTTTTCATAAAGCTCTTCTGGGCCTCAAACTACGGTGCATTCTGTGAGGGCAAAACACTGATCACGCACCGTTACTCAGGACCACCTGCAGAGAAAAAGGTAGCAGCAAAGACGTAGGTACCTATGGTGGTGATGACGGTTCCAGCAAAGAAAAAGGCACTGCCAAGGTCCCAGTGACTGCTGTTGTTGGAAGAGTTTCCTATCGGACTGACTCCCGCATTGTCAGCATCAAGGGCATGCTGCAAAGAAAGGGGAGAACATGAGACTCGGTTAAAAAGTTTTTACTAAAAAAGAGAAAAGATTCCAGTGAATTATTCTCCTGCTTGAGAACCTGCAATGATCCAGAGAGAAATGGTTAAGTGGATGAGGGTATAATCATAAAGTGAAATTCTGTGCATGCACTTATGGAAATTCGTTTTAAGTAGGGGGGAACTAGAATGTAGAACATGGTGCCACTTATATAAAGTTTGAAGGCCCAGGTTATACATGACACATATGTATATTGCTGTGCATGTACATAAAAAGATGTCTAAAAGAACGTTCCCTCAAAGCAGTCATTTCCGGAAGGTAAGACTGCAATTGCTTTCTCGCTCCTTTCTGTCTTGTAAAGATATTTTACATGGAGCTTGTTTCAACAACACGGGAATTAAGAGCTTAGGCTCCCAGGTCAGGCCGTCCTGGCTGTGCTTGTTATTAACTCCAGAAATTTGGGCAAGTTTTCTGAACCACTCTAAGCCTGGTTTCCTCATTTGCAAAATGGGGATACTATCTTCTCCCACAATCATTGTGAGGATTAAATGAGATGGTCCAAACGCCCTTAGCCTGATGCCAGGCACCCAGTTCGGGTTTAACAAATAGTAGCCAATTTTACAATTGTCAATTCATTGCCCTCCCCTCACCCCTCTCTCTCTCTCTCTCTCTCTCTCTCTCTCTCTCTCTCACAAACACACACACACACACACACACACACACACCCCCCACTCTTTTTAAAAATAAGCTTTAATGATTCCTCAATGACTACTGGATTTGGGATTCCATATACTTTAAAAGTCCCAATACTGGTCACACTGATGACCCATTTTTATCTCAGCCTGCTGTAGCAGTCTCCCCTCTGGGCAGGCCCCTCCATGAGATGTTCCCTTACACCTCTGTGCCTGTGTCTATGCCCTTCTGTGAACCACACCTATCCGTCAGTATCTAACCCAGGCCCTGCTTCTTCCCGCAGATTCTGTTTGTGCATTGCAGCCCCACAACTACCCCCTTCTTTGTGCTCATAATTTTGCAATTAAATATAGTGCTAAAAATTGTCCCCAGCTTCATCGTGAGCAGAATAAGGTGAGAAACTCCTCTGCAGCTCTTCCTGCACTGGCCACTGCCATTTTCTTTCAGGCCAGGGAGCAAGGTAAGCAGAGCTGTCCCAGCAACTCAAACGCATGCTGTTCAGCTGTGAGCTGGTGAGACGGCGACAGGTGGGGGCTTCAGAAAGGAGGTGACAGGCGTAGCACTACTTATAGAACAACAATAAGAACTCCATTCCCTGGGCTAAGTTGGAATAACCCTATATAGAGAAAGAAAGACCAAATATTAAAATGTAATTATATTTATCCTAAATAATGCCCATTAAGCTTCATTAAAACAGGCATATAGCAGTTATCACAAGTCAGATGACAACTGAAAAAGTCAATTGTCGTTACATTGTGCCTTCCTTAATCTGTAATATTTCAAACCCTCTAGGCCAGAGATCTGTAACTTTTTCCATAGAGGGCCAGATAGTAAATATTTCAGCCATGGTGGGCTACATATGGTCTCTGTCGATTATTTTTTCATTCTTTTAATAATGCTTTAAATATGCAAAAACCACTTTTAGCTCAGGGGTTGTATAAAAACAGGCTGTGGGCTAGATTTGGCAGACCCATAGATAAATTGACTGGACAATAGGAGAAAAAAAAAGACCTTATACGTTCTTAATCTATTCTTTCCTGCCTTTAAGAGAACATGAAATATTATCCACAGCTGTAGCCAGCCACCATTCCTAACAATCTATGGCCCCCCAGAATTTAAAACCTGGCTGCGTCGGATATGAACAGACTGGCTTTGCCAATGGTTTAAATTGGCCTAATTGACATCGGTCACATACTCAGCCAGGGCTATGTTCTGCTCGGCTTTATAGGAGAGACAGATGGCGAGTCCTTTCTGCTGGTAAAATATCCATTTTTCCTGAGCTATTTGAGAGCCGTAAGTCCATCCACAGAGCCTTCATTCACCAGTGTTCATATCTTCATTATCTATTCAGTTCTGATGGGCCCCCTGGAAATAAAACCTCTGGGACAGTTCTAGGCCTCAGTCACTTAGGTTGCCCCAAATCCCACCATAAATACCTAATCCTTACAACTCCTATGAAGCCACAGAAAGAATTTGGGCCTCTCAAGTCTCACCCTGCTGAGAACTTCTCATCAACACCAGGAACAGCACAAGAAAATAAAGATTATCATGAGCTTTAGATCACTGAGAATCAGTGTCCAGGGCACAAGGTGACTGTGCCACACTGCTCTATTAAAACAAAAGTCTCAGAACTGACAACTAAGAGTTATCTGACTTTATGGAATGACTTAGATGTGACTAAAGCACAATTCAAAGTGTGGTCCTGGGACAACACCAGCAGCATCACCTGGGAAATTGGTAGAAATGCAAATTATCAGGCCCTGCCCGAGATGCACGGAATCAGAAACTCTGCGGATAGGCCCAGAAATCTCTGCTGTTAACAACACGTCCTGCAGGTGAATCTGACGTGGGCTAGGGTTGGAGAAGCAATGGCTAAGAATTGAGGCTGATGACCTAAAGAATGTAAGGTAACTTCACATCCCAGAAAGGGCAGCCTTCCCAGGAGGAGGTCGCCCCAGCCGTGTCCCTGCCTCTTCCCTTTTGAAATTGTCTTCAAAGACCAGGACCAGAGTGAATCTTATTTGTTTGCGTGCTTCCTTATGTGGATGGATTTTTTATAAAAAGCCAAATCACACAGCTTGATGACCAGACCCATGTTTAAATGACTTTTGTTGGGTTTTCAAACTGGTTCAGACTTGTGGGACAAAGGTTTCTGTATTCAAGGCATTCAGTAGAATGTTAATTGGAGTGATCATAAGCAGGCCTATTTACTGCCACTTTGAGCTCCTATTAGCCCCTGTCTTTTGTCGGTGTTTGTTAGTTACAGCACCCATCTGGAACAGTCTGAGAATGTGACTCTTCTAGGTAGGAATGGGGCCCGGGTACAAAATAACAAAGGATAACCTAATATACTCTGGTAGACACCAGGTTGTGGGTCAGAGGCCAGATGGCACCAAGAAAGTAGTAAGCAAAATTTCCAGGGCTGCTTACCTTCCACAATTTGGAGTCTAAGGGGGGTATTTGACCATGATGGGCCATGAAGCAGCAGCCAATTCTGACAGAGATAAAGCAATGAAGTGTGGGCAAAATACCACAGCAAGTGTATGGAGTTGTTTGGGACACAAGACGTTACACAGGCTAATACAACAGAATTCCTCTCCATTTTCCATTTATTACACCTGTCGACATCCAGTTTCTCCAGTTGGCCAGCACAGTGTTTCCTAAAACTGAGGTTTGGGAAATCTTGAGAGATTGTGATGACCCAAAGCATCTCCATGTTGTGGGGTCAGACAGTGACTGGAGTTAAATCCAACTCAGGGAGAGATGTTTTCACAAAGCTTCTGGAAAGCAGTAACTGCCATGCTTGTTAAAAACTCCCTCACGTGGTTGCCCCACTCCCCATTTTGGGAACAGCCACAATATCAAGAAGGGTGAGGGGAGAGGTTTCCGTTCTGATAATGACCAGAGACCTTGACTAATTTCTTTGATAGTCCAATATTTACACATTCACCAAAACTTTCAACAAGGTATATTGAAGCAGCAGGTTATCCAAATTTAATACATCCATGGACCTATCTCCCCTTGGGGGAATGTTGGGAGTAAATGTTACTTTAAATCAATTACTTGGAGACACAGAACAATAAAAAAAGGGAACAATCAAAGAGCTTTGTTCTAAAACCCTATCGTATCACACCCTAAAGACTCTCAGCAAGGATTACTAAAGGCTGTGAATTCAAATTGGTTCAGCCCATCTAAATAATCAGACACTGTGTTGGTCAGAAAGCCAGCCGGCTCAATTAACAGCAAACTGACAGCAGCTTAAACACATGAAGACCAACTTGTCTCAGTAAGAAGTCTACAGAGAGCCAGGTGTTGCGCTGGCTCACACCTATAATCATAGCACTCCGGGAGGTCAAGGCATTGCTTGAACTCAGGTGTCCGAGACCAGCCTGAGCAATCATGAGACTCGGTCTCTACTAAACATAGAAAAACTGAGGCAAATGATCCCTTGTGCCCAAGAGTTTGAGGTTGCTGTGAGCTATGATGCCATAGCTCTCTAGTTAGGATGCTAGAGTAAGACTCTCTCAAAAAACAAAAGTCTACAAAGAAGCAGTTCGGATTGGAAAGATGCCTTCAAGGCTCCAGGGTTTTTTCTCTTTTTGGTCTGCCATCCTTGGCTTGTCCCTTTTGGCTTCTGGTAGCACCAGAGCTCAACCTCCACCACTGCATCCACATTTTGGGCAAAAGAAGAAAAAGGGGAAAAGAACTAGCAAACCACTCTTCGTATGTCATTGGCAGAAATGTCCCTGCATGGCCATATGTGGCTATTAGGGAAGCTAGAAAATTTTAGCATTCGAAACCTCTGAAGGAAAGGAGGATGTTGGGTCAACTAATAAAGTTATATTTTTACAAACATTATAAATAGCAGATCTCTCGAAGATTGTCATGAGAGATGAATGGGGCTGATTATTTGTTTCATCGAAAAATCTGAAGTATGATTCCTTTTCAAGTTTCCTTTTCCTTGAATTATGCAAGTTATAAATATTTAATGTTTACATATGTAATCCTCAAGGAAAGTGTTTCTCAGTTGAAAGGAAAAGGAAACTAACATTTGTTAAGTGTCTGCATTTCACCAGGTGCCTTAGAAATGTTATTCCATTTTAGATAGAAGGATATTGATAGATAGATAACAATTTGTGTGTTATTCCATTCTATCCATTCCACAACTGGCAAGAGAGTAGTATCACCCTCAGGTTAGAGATGAGGAAACAGGCTCAGGAAAGCTAAGTAACCTTCCCGGGGTCACACAGCTAGAACGTGGAGGGCTAGGACTCAATCCCTATCTGGCCCAAAGCAG